AAGTATAAGTTCTCCATCCTATTTCTTATTTTTTTGCACATTCCAGATCTTTTGTATTTCCAAATGAATTTCAAGATCAGTTTGTCATTGTCTACAAAAAAGAAAGTTGAGGTTTTGATTTGGATTGTATCAAATCTATAGGTCAATTTGGGGAGAATTGCTTCGTAATATTGAATCTTCCAGTCCATGAATATAGGACGTCTGTTTGTTTATGTAGGTCTTTAATTTCTTTCAGCAATGTTTTGTAATCTTCAATGTACAAGTCTTACACTTCTGTTGTTAAAATTTTACCTAAATATGTTATTATTTTGAAGGTGTTTGTATTATTTTCTTAATTCTATTTTCAGATTGTCCAGTGCTGGTATATAGAATAGAAATACAGTGATTTTTGTGTCTTGATCCTGTATTCTCTGACCTTGCTGAACGTGTGTATTCTAGTAGTTACTTTGTGGATTCATTAGGGTTTTCTAAATACAGAATTACACCGTCTGCAGATTGAGGTGCTCTCACGCCTTCCTTTCCACGCTGGATGCCATTCGCTTCCTCTCCTGGCCTGCTCGCCTGACCAGAAGCTCCTGGACGCTGCCCAAGTGAGAGCAGACGTCCTGCCTTGTTCAGTCTTAGGAAGCGTGACACGCTCACCGTTCAGGTGCTGACTGGAGGGTGTTCAGGTGCCTTCTATCATGGTGGGGAATTCCTTTCCACTTCTGCTTTGTTGAGACTTTTTTTTTTTTAAATCATGAATGACCATTAGATTTTGTGAAAAGCTTTTTCTGCATTTATTGAGATTGTCACGCAGTGATTGTCCTTTTCTCTGTTAGTTGCTGTGTGGCATTAATTAACTTTTAGATGGTAAAGCAACCTTGCGTTCCTAGGAAAAATCCCACTTGATCTTAGTATATAATCCTTTTCATAAGTCGCTGGATTTGGCTTACTAATATTTTGTCAAGGACTCTCATCTATATTCATGTGGGATATTGTCCTGCAGGTTTTTTTCTTGCGATGTCTTCTTCTGGCTTTGGTATCAGGTGATACTGAGCCTTATGGAATGAAGTGGAAAGTGTTCCTTCCTCCTCCATTTTCTGGGTAATTTTGTGAGGGTGAGATATTTCTTGTTTAAATGTTAGAATTTACTGTTCATGCTGTCTGATCTTGGACTATTTTTGTGGGGAGATATTTAGTGACTAATTCATTTCTTTTTGCTTTTTACCGATCTATTCAGATTTTATATTTCTTCAGTCCATTTCAGTAATTTGTGTCTTTCTAGGAATTTGTCCATTTCATCTAAATTGTCTAATTTGTTGGCATTTGTTGTTGTTGTTTTTTAAATTTCTGTACGGTCAGTACTCTGTCTCCTTTTCATTCCTGAATTTAGTTATTTGTGTCTCCCTCTTGGTCTGACTAATGCAGGAGTCGGCAGATGACAGCTTACAGGCAGAAGCCACTGGCAGTCTGTTTTTCTATGGCTTCTGAGCTAAAAATGGTCTCTTATTTTTAAAGTGTTACAAAAAACAAAACAAAACAAAAAAGAAAGAAAGAAGAATATTGACAGAAACCATATGTGGCCCACAAAAATATTTGCAATCTGGCCCTTCATAGAAAAAGTTTGCTGATCTCTGGTCTAGCTAAAGGTTTATTAAATTTCTTCATGTTTTCCAAAAACCAACCGTTGTTTTTACTGGTTTTCTCAATTGTTTTTCTTTCTTCAATTTAATAGATTTATGCTGTCTTTATTTTCTTCCTTCAGCTTACTTTTGGCCATTTGCTCTTTTTTTGGTGGTTGTTTCTTTTTTTTTTTTTTAAGATTTTTATTGGTGAATTGGAGGAAGGGGAACAGACAAGTTGTTGTCCTTTTGTTCTTCAGTCTAGTTGTGGAGGACGTCGCTTCACTGGCCCAAGTTGACACCATCATTGCGCTCTTCCCGGGGGAGGCAGATCAGTTGCCGGATTCTGGACGGCCACTCTTGGCGGCTGCTGGCCGCTCACGCTGGCTACTGGCTACACACGGCAGCCCATGGCAACCCGCTGCAGCAGGGGCTGCAGCCTACGCCGTCGCCAGTGACTCTCGGCGGCCCAGCTCCAGGTCCAGCTGTTGTTCAGCATCTTAGCTGTGGAGGGCAGTGTCACCGGCCCTCATATGTGGGATCCGAACCGGGGCCCTCTGGCATCCCAAGCCAGCTCTCAACCACTGCGCCACTCGGCTGGCCCTGTTTTGTTTTAAAGTCTGTTTTTTCTGGTGTTAGTATAGCTACTTCACTCTTGTAGTTTGAATGGTAGATGTAACTTGTGCCATCATTTTACTTTCAGTCTCTTTCATTCTATGCATGTCTTTGAATCTGAAGTGTGTCTCTGGTAAATATCATATAGGTGAATCTTGTTTTATTTTCTTTTTGTGTTTGTTTTATTAAACCCAGCCTGACGATCTTTACCTTTGATTAGAATTTTGATATTGAATTTATTCATGTGTTACTGTTTCACATGGTTGGATTTATGCTGCTGTTTTGCTATTTATTTTCTATGTCTCATGTTATTTTTGTTCCTCTGGTCTTCCTTTACTGCCTCCCCTTTTTTATCGAGTAGGCTTTTCCCTGTGTATTGTTTGTAATTCACAATAATTATCAGTATTGATTTTTGCTCTTCTGAGTTATTTTCTTAATGGGAGTCTTTTACTGTCTGTCATTTTGGATGTTTCCACCTACGTGCCTGGGTATCACTGTGTTTGAGCGCTTCCCTGTGGAGTCAGCTTGAGGCCTCGGGTGAACGTGCATTCCCTCAGAGACTTTGCTTGGCTTCTGTCCTCCCCCTTCCTGGAGCAGCGGAACCCTCGAGGCCCCAGCTCCGTTAGGCTGGTGTCTCACACACCTTCCCCTTAAGCTGGCGGCCCACTGCAGCCTGAGCTGGAACAGGTGGTGGTTTGATAGCCCCGACCCCCCAGATCTCGAGCAGACTCAGGCTCTGATTTCCACTGCCTGTCAGTTCTGCAGTGGGTTTTGGAGGCCTTGGACCTGGGTTTGGGTCATGCTGTAGGATGACAGCCAAGTAGCAAATCACAGGCACGTATTCTCTCCAGCTTATTTTCCTGTCCTCGGTAACTGGGAGTTTGGGGGAAAGACGAAGCTGGTTCCGTTATGTACGCGAGTGCTTGGGGAGTCGTCCGTGACGAGCTGGGTGCTGTGCTCTGCTCTCCTCCCCCCTGCAGGGCCTTCCCTTCAGAGTGTGGGTCCTGAGGGCTTGGGAATAACCAGGTGACTTCTGTCGGTCTTCACACCTGACTCGTCTAGAGCCAAGCACAGGGAGACCCAGCAAAACGGAAGCGTCGCCTCTGTGCTGTGCTGCAGGAGACCTCTCGGCCGCTGACTTGACAGGTTGCTACCGGGGCTGTGTCTGCCCTCAGCCACCAGCCTTTGCCAAAACCGCCGATTGTCCTGGGGTCCATAGCGACCCTCTCTCCCACGACCACTCCCCACGCAGAACCTCCAGGGTTCTTGGACTAGATGAGCTGCTTTCTACCCAGTGTTTTTATGGTCAGAAAGGACGCACTGTTTCATTCTGAGCCCTGTTCCCCAGGCTACCAAGCGCGTTTCTGAGCTCATCATCTCTGGAATTTCAGCCAGCACGCTCTGGGCAGACAGATACAGAGGCTTTGAAAGGATGAGCGATGCAGACCCCGCCTCTGTCGTTGGTGCCCAGTGACCTTCGTCTCCATCCCTGAGGCCCCCTCCTCTGCATTTCAGATGGCACCTGTGAGCACCGTGGGCCTCCCTGAGCAGGCCCCTCCCCGGGACGGGCGCGACAGGGACTGGCCTCGGTCAGAAGGTGCTGCAGGTCACGGCCCCCTGGCGCAGACACATCTGGGCTTGGTATTAAAATATCACTGCTTTTCATGTGTAATGAAGACCTTTCATTCCGCCATCTTTCAGCAAGTGTTTTCTCTTTCAAAGTGGATTCGGGAAAACAAGGAGCTTATTTATAAGCAACAGTCACTGCATTCTGAAATAGTGTGGGTGCCTGCTGTGCCGTTCAGCAGGCTTCATGTGTGCTCGTGGCACCCGTCCTCGGTCAGCGAGTGTGTCACATGCCTGCAGGGTTCTTTTTGTACCTGCGGACGCTGACTGACTTCTTCAGACACCAGCAGGGTAGGCGATTCGAGGAGAGGTGATGGGAAGTTATAGCAGGATGTCTGGAGAGCTAGGAATTTTGGGCAGCTTTCCTTTTTGTGTAAATCCTCAAACTGTACAATTGGGCTCTCAGTAACCCTGTGTTCAGATTTTGACCCTGATGTGTAATTGCTGTGAGACCATGGGTGAATTACAGAGCCTTTCCAAATCTTGGTTTTCTTGGCAACAAAATGGGAATGATGGTGGCTGCTCTGTCTCCAACTAAGGAAGACTCTGGTAAATATCCAAAATCAGGTGTATGTTGAGTGTCTGGTAAATGGTGGCGTGAATCGAAAATACAGTTCAGGCTTGAGTGGATACATCATTTGTTCTACAAATATTTTTGAGGGCCAACCAAATACAAAAGGTTAGTGGGTCTGGGTTCTAGAAAGGCACACGTGTAGTGTTTAACCACGTGAGCTGCTTGATTTTGTATCTTTCCCTTGGCAGTGTCTGTGACATTTATTATGTGTTTATAGCTGTAATTTTGTTCCAGCACTGAATGGTATTTGATGATAGTAATGTCCACAGTTTGTGTATACATCCTGATGTCTGTGGACAGTGGGCTGATCTCCGATGCGAACTGCTGTGAAGTCTGTGTCTCGTTTTCCTTCCCCAGAAGTGAAACCACCAGGGTCAGGGTCGGTATCTTCACTTTGCTGCACCTGCCAGGCATGTGCAGAGCGCTTGTGCGCGGGTGGCTCTGTGGAACCGTCAGTGTCTCCCAGCCCCCAGGCTGTGGCTGGGTAATTGACGGGTGGTCTGCTGCAGGGGATCTCGTCTGCCTTTGCCTGTCTTGTCTGGCAGTTGCTTCGCGTGAATTAACATGTGCTGTCCCCGCAGGACGACGTGATGATGCCGCAGAGGGTGAGGCTACAACATGAAGCTGCGGTCCGGCATCCGACAAGCGTGAGTATGGGCGTCTCTCGCTCGGTACTGTCGCTGCCCGTTACCCGTTCTTCCTTAGGGAGAGAGGAGTTGGTGCTGGGGAGACTGCCACTCAGAGGACGACTGTGGCGGGCACGTCTCGAAACACACAAGGGCATTTTCCTTTGAGGAAACGTGCCTCTTATTTGGGGTAGCACTTGGTCCTTTCAGATGGATACAAAGGGTTTTCTGGTTGTTTCTGTTTAATCAGCATTGTAGAAGTTCAGCACCCTGGACATGAACACAGGTTGAGAGCTGTGGCGTCAGCAGTTCAGGAGGTTATTCTCATGACCCCGGTGAGCTCTGGCAGTGGCTGTCATCTTTAGAAGGCTTCCCGGCTGGCCCGAGCCTGGCTTCTCCAGGACCGTCTTCCTGGGCGCTCTGGTGACAAAGCCCTCCCTGCTGTCGCTCCTCCCAGATTCAGTGCATTTGACACGCGGGGTGGACACATGCTCGCGCTCACCTGACACGGACGAGGGGAGCGGGTCCCTAAGCCCGGGAGAGGAATGACAGCGACACAGTGATGCCAGGCCCCAGCAGGCGGTCAGCGGCAGGCCGGTGCCCACTGTCCTGCACTGCCCACGGGCTCTGGAAGCGTGTGTTCCTTCACTCCCGGGGACACTGTCCCCACGGCTCCCTCGCCTGGAGGACGCCACGCGCTCGCGCATCCTCGCTGGGCCCCGTCTCGGTTCCGCAGGCCCAGTGCATGTGCGCCACCTCTCAGGGCCCCCGCGCCTGCGCCGTGCCCGCAGCGCTGTCCGGGGGGGCTGCTGGCTGGTCTGGGAGTAGCGGGCTGCAGGGTCTCGCCCCTGTCGTTTGTCCCCAGTAAAATGCGTGCATCCAGGCAGTGCTCAGGTTAGTTGTGTGCTCAGGAAGTGGTTCAGGTGAAGTGAGGGAGGGGAGGGGGAGAGGGGAGGGGAGCAGCAGAGAACCCGTCTCCGCCGGGCCATTCAGGCCGCGCCCTAGGTCCACCGTGGGGGTCATCACACCAGCCTCTGGTGATGTTGGACTTCCGCAGTGACATGAAAGGAGAGACTAGATGCACGAACAGTGTTTCTTAGTCTGGTTCCATTGTTGGGAAGAGAAAAAAGGGTGGGAAAGCCTCCTGGACGGAATTCTGTTCACAGCGGGTCACACGGGAAATGCAGGAGGGTCCCAGGCAGCTGCCGGTGTGGTGATGTCACACTGAGGTCTGGCCGCAAGGTCTTAGAGGAACACCGGTTTTTCCAAAGTTGACAGTGCTTTTGACCGCCCAGCTAACTGCCCGAACTGGTGGTCTTTGCTTTCACCTATTTCTGCCAACCGTGTGATCCTGTGAAATTAAAGTCGCGCACACGCGGTCCCAGCCCTGCAAGGACAGCCTGCACTTGAGCACCTGGGGTGGGTCGTCTCTGTGTGACGTGCCTCCTCGTTCGGAGGGGTTTTCACACAGCTGTTTCCAGGCATTTAAACTGCATTCCTCATTGAAACTTGTAAAGAATGTCGTTACCGTGTTGACATTTCAGTGCGTGAGATATTTTCAGATATGTTCTTTACCATTTTTTTCATTTTTATACGGAAAAAACTACACACGATTGGCTCACTGATGCGGGAACTTTGGGCAGTTCTCCACTCACAGGCTCACAGGGACCACGGTATCTAGGGACACATAAGGAATTTGGAAAAATGCAGACTGTGTCAGCTTGTCATCATCGTAATTAAAATGGCCTTGGTTGCATGTGTGTAAAGTTTTATCAAGTTCTAGCTTAGGGCTTTTCTTGCTGATCCTCTAATTAAATTCCCCTGATAGTATCCCAACGTCTGCAGAGGCTGCCTCCTCCTGCCGTGACCTCCTCCCCCCGGGCCTCCTGCGCGGTGGGTTTTCAGTGCAGCCCAGGATGTCCTCACAGCCGGCTTGAACCAGAACAAAGCTGCTTTCAGAGGCGCTGACTGTGGGCCTGGGTTTATTAAAATCATGACCTGCAAGAATCTTAATTTGCAGTTGCCGGTTGGTGGTTATGTCAATTATATCGTACAGTTAGTTTGGAAAGAATGAAATGAATGCTAAGGGTTCTCTTGTCCTTGGTCACTGTTTTTTTTAAGGCCATTTACAAGAAAACCACTTAATTATGAAGGAAAGGCCCCTGGGGCAGCTGCATAAGTGGTGCAGTTACATGTCCCCTGCAGAACTATTGGGAGCCAGTAGGCAGTGCCCATTGCAGCATTTATCCGGCCGCTTACTGACCGGTCCTGAGCGGAGGTCAGCTGTGGGACAGCTGGGGGGCCGCCCGGGGTTTCTCCTACACTGAGGCACAGAGCGCTGTGGTACGCAGTGTTAGGAACACAGAGGCGGCAGAAGGCACCCTGCGGCTTCTCTGTATGTGCTGCCGGCTCCTCCCTGTGGCCTTGGGGCACGTGGACGTTGGTATGGTAGGGCAACGGACAGCAGGACTTCCCTGCTTCTCCAGCATCAGTGAGTCTCCAGGGAGCTCTGTGTCAGCCACAAGCTTGTGAACGTCCTGCCTGGTGGCCCTGAATTGTCTCCCCCCCCCCGCAAGAGCAGAAGCAGGACGCAGGCATGTGCCCCAGGTCCCTTCAGCCTCTCTGTGGAGCACCGACTGTACAAGCTGTGCTAGGCCCGGTGGTCCAGCAGCCTCTGCCTGGAGCATCTGAAGCCTCGCGTGCTGTCACGTGCTTAGTGTGTGCCCCCCGTGTACCTCTCCTGCAGCGGGCGGTGGGCTCTGCCAGCTGCCATGGAAACCAGATTGGGGACACCGGAGAAGAGCTTGGTGTGTCACTGAGGGGCCGCAAGGAAGGAACAGGTCCTGTGGCTTGTGTCTGTTGGCCTATGCCTGGGCCAGAGTTCCTGCCCAAGGAGGTGGCAGTAATCCGTTGTCGGGGACATCGAAAGGGACAGGATGAAATAGCTCAGGGAAATCATCAGGCGGCCAAGGCCACCCCCTCTAAGGCAAAACGAAAGGGGGCCTCATTCCTTCCTTACTGGGCCCCACTCTTCCCCGCCATAGACCTCAGAAGAGAAAAACGGGGCCATTCAGAGGGGAGACACCCTGAACCCTCAGGGGTGGTATGAGCTTATCAAAGGCCACACCTTCCACAGTCCCTCCAGGGGAAAGTCATTAACGGAAGTCATGATTCCTGTCATATTGGGCAGGATAATATGCACCAAATCTGCAGGGACCCATCTCTGACTGTGTGAAGGACCCTTTTTCCCTCTGAGCTGTCTTAGCGATGTCTGAACAGCCTGCAGGTGGGTCCTCCAGCAGACGTGCAGGTGGCCCCCTGGATTCGAGGTGCTATTGGGGACAGGACAGGTGTGTGGAGAGGGGACTGTGGTGACAATGAGGAGGAGGTGGGGCCAGGCTGCCTGGACCAGGGCCGAGGGTGTGGGTACTGAAGGCGGGAGCATGGCAGCTGACGGGGAGCCTCCTGGCAGGGGAGTGCCTGTCTGGCGGCCCGGTGGGCACTGCCTGGCACCTGGACAGGGAGGCGGCTGGGGAGTGAGCCCTTAGCACTGTGACTTGTCTACCTAGAGGTCAGTGCTTTCAGGAGGCGAGAACTGGGTCAGTTCAAATTTGCTGCCCTGGGGGCTCAGCGGGGACCTGGTGCTTGGAGGCTCAGGAAGAGTGGGGAAGTAATCGGAGTTTGAAGTTGCACATTGTTCATTTTAGTTTGAATGCATGCGGGGGTGGGGGGGCGTTATCTGTGACAAGTTCTCAACCCAGCAGACAGCAGGCTGGCTGAGACACGTGCTGCTCAGGATCGTGCAGTGTAGGATCCGACCCCAGAACTCTGCCTGCCCCTCCTCCCCACACTCTAGGAAGTTTTAACACGACCCAAACGTGCAGCTTGCGTCAGGTACAGGTACACGTACAGGTGTGCGCTCATGTACTCACAGTGGCTTTTTCTTCTTTGTGATCTGGCTGTTGCTGTTTTGCAGATTATAGGCTGCCAGGTGAGGAGGGAGCCTCCCAACTCCACTGAGCGGTACACACGTTGGATCAACCAGCTGGCGTCTGATCAGCTCCTGACCCAGGTATTCTTCTCCCCGATCTGGGGGGTGGCCAAGGCCTCCGGGGAAGGTGCTCCAGGCGGACGGCGACCAGACTGGATGGGCAGGGGTGGGACTGGGCCAGGGCCGAACGCTCGGGTTGGGGAGGAGGCCAGGAAAGGCCGTGTTCCTGGTGGGGCAGGGGCCGTCCCCGGGGCCGGGCAGACTGGTCTGGGAGGTTGAGGGGCACTGGCTGTCCAGCGGCAGTCAGGAGCTGGCCCTGAGCTGGGAGGCGTGGGCTGTGATGGGCCGGAAACCTCTGTGGGGCAGATGGCAGGAGGAAGTCCTCTGAGCGGGTCCCATCCTGAGAAGAGTAACAGGGACAACAAGCAAACAAACATTCTCTGTTCATCTGCCTTTAAAATAAGCTACTATCTCTGCATGTTGGTGGCCACATAATGCTCCATAACAGATCACCCCAAAACAGAGCCTAAAACAACCTTTGGCTCTTGGGGGTGGGCTGGAGCCCAGGTCTGTCCCGTGTGCCCCTCACCTTGCCAGCCTTGGCTGCCCTGCTGATGGCCGACGTCCAGACTGCGTCCAGGATGAGCCACTCCCCAGAACCTCCCCACCACAGGTGCAGTGGGGAGCAGCCCCCACGCCCAGGTCAGAGGGGTGCAACGGGGAGCAGCGCCCCATGCCGAGCCAGGACGAAGCCCAGGAGGCCTGGGCAGGTGGCCCTGCCAGGGGAGGCGTCTGTACCCCCTGTGACCCTCGTACAGGAGATGCTGTTTTAAAGACTGAACTCTTGGTCGGGTGGCGTGAGTTGTGATGATGTTAGAGCTGCTCCTGAATCTGTCTGCCGGGGGTCGCAGCCCCTCACAGGCCCATGTCACATGCTTGGGGGACTGGAGGCACATGCCCCTCCCCGTCAGGTGCCGCCACCCCTGGGTGTTTCTTCTGTCACCAGACATGCGTCACTAGCTTTCCACAGCATGCTGGTTCTCACACACCATGCGTTTGCCGGTCCTGTGACACCGCCACCTCTGTGTCTGGTGGCTTCACTGCTAGAGAGAGGAGCGGGGCTGTCTGGGGCTGTCAGCTCCACTAGGCCTGTCTGGCCTGTGAAGGTTCCAGAAGGACTCAGTGCAGCTTCGAACCAGCACCGACGTGGTCCCGACTTGGACGCTGCTGAGGGTTTGCCTCAGACTCGCATGTTGCTTTGCGTTTTTCAGTGGCATTTGGGTGTCAGCGGTGGGACTCGTGAGTCCTCGTCACACGTGGTGAGTGGGCACCAGGTCTGCGCCCCCTGCTGCACTTCTCCTGGTCCTTCGTCCGCAGATAGGGCCGGCCGAGGGCTTGTGACCAGACACTGGCCAGGACATGTACCGCTGGTTTCTTTTCTGGGTTTCTGAGCACAGAAGCACAGCTGGCTCCGTGGAGACCGAGCAGGAGCTTTCCTGTTCTTGCAGACAGTGGGGAAGCTTATGGCCTCCGCTCAGCCCACGGTCCACGCACGGCGAGGCGAGGCTCTGCACGAGGGGCCATTGGAAAGGCCCACCTGGGTCCCCAGAGGGGAAGGGGGCAGTCACTCCGGGAGAGACTTCTGAGCTGCGTTTGATTTGCTGGGAGGATGATACTTAGGCAGAACCTAGAACTAGACACCGAGGGTATAATTCAAATGTTGCAGCACATTTTCAGCCAGAAGTACGAGTTCTGGGCCAAGGGCTAATAGGAAGCCCGAGCTATCGAGCGTCATAGAAGTAACTAAGGCGGGGCCTCTGAAATAGTGTTTTTCTTTAGCAAGTTAGGGGAAATTAAAGTCTGAAGTTTCTCCAAAGAAACTGAGAGAAGATCTGTCTTACCTGAGCCATTTCTCAGCTGTCACTGCTGCGGAAGCCACTGCGGCTTTAGCAGGGTGTCTGTCATCGTCTGTGCCGTCCTGGTTGGGAGCTGCGAGCAGCGTGGTTCACTTTGATGCTCGGTGTGTCTCCTTGAAATGTCTGAGTCGGTCTCACGATGTACAGAGTTAGATCAGGTGCCATCAGGTTAGCCCTCTGCCGGCTGCACGTCAACAGGGAGGGGGCAGCTGTACACGTGGCCTAACAGGTGCCACCTGGAGTCGCACCTGGTTTAGGCAGTGCCCTCTTTCTGCCTGCAGTGAGGAGCCGCTCCCAAGGGGCCAGCATTTCCCAAACCAGTGGGGACAAGGAAGAGGCCAGGCCAGACACCCTCCCTGCCTCTGAGGCTGCCCCAGGGTCCCGGCTGCTGGAAGGAGGGGCCGGGGGTCCTTCCTCAGGCCCCTGTGCTGGGCTCTGGCTGCCTGGAGTGGCCCGTCTGCTCCCTGTGCGCCAGCTGACCACAGGAGGGCAGACAGGAGAAGGGTGTGAAGTGCACCCCTCTGCCCGGCCCCAGTCTTGCCCTCCACAGCTCCCTCGGGCTGTTGCCCGCTCGCGCTGCCATAGCAGATACAGCATTCACTCCTCACAGTCTGGAGGCTGAATGTCCAAGGTCATGGTGCCGACAGGGCTGGTCTCCCCTGAGCCCGTCTGTGGTGTGCAGACGGCCGCCTCCTCCCTGGTCACCGCACACGGCCTTCCTCTGCGCTCACTCCCAGTGTCTGCCCTCCTCTTGGGAGGACAGCCGGCCCCTCGGATCAGGGCTTCACCTCGTGCCCTCATTTACCCTGATGACCTCCCTAAAGGCCCCTTCTCCAGTACAGCCCCGCTGGGGGCTCGGGCTGCCACGTGGATTCGGGGGACAGAGTCCGGTCCTCAGCACTTGCACACCCGCCTTGGCTCCTCCTCGGCCCCCGGGACCCCTAGTGTACACCTCCTGCCCCATCTGGGCCTCACCCGGACACAGCGGGGTGGACACGGCTACACCAGGCAGGGCCGCTCTCTGACCCCCCCCCCCCCCCCCCC